ATACGCGTTATAAAACAAATTAATTGTAAAATATTAAACCCTTCTGTAATTATAAAGCTCGTCTTCAATTAATTTTTATTTGGTACTTTGTTAGCGAATTTCGAAGTTACTTATTTCTTATACATATAACACTAGCTATACTCCGTAGTTTCACACACGTATGTAATGCATTTGAGCCGCGCGACATAATATGACACCTAGTTCGAGCATTTTCGGAGTACTTTTATCTGTCGGCATATGTACGTTATAGAGCAGTTAAATAATTAAAGTTAAATTTATCCAATCTTTTTCTGTCATTCTGGTGTGTTTTTTATCATTCTAACTCCCGGATGAGCGTCATTCTTTCGTGCCCCAGAAATGGTGTCCCAAATCGCAGTTTTTTTCTAGATTTAAAGAAAACAGTGAAAAATGTGAAGGTACGAAATGATTTTTGATAAACTTGCTATCTAAAATAAACCTCTTATAAATACAGAAACAGAAAAAGAAACTTTTTTATTCAATATAGATTATAAATAATACTTATTGAAAGAACAATAGTTTTAAATTATATATTTAATTATATACAATATAAAAAATATATTCAATAGTTTTAAAATATTTTACAATATCGTTTGATGATATTTTATGAAATATAAAATTCTTCGTACACGCATTTACATTTTGTTTAAGTAATTATTCGGCGACGGCAGGAGAAGAATTCAGTGACTTAGTGGTTAAGATCGGAATATCAGTAAAATATTTCTCAAATAACATTGCAATATCCTGATCTGATACAGTTAATTTGTTGTTAACACTTAACTGGTAATGTGAATTGTGAGAGTTGATGTTACCAGTTTTGCTATTAATTATACTCCATGTCATTTTAATTTTATTAGAAGTGTTCTTAATTTTGTTGCTTAAATGCAAAGTGGTAACGCCAGTTAACAATCTAATTTATTAATAATTAATACTAATTAAACAATCTAATTTATTAAAAATAATAAGAGAATATTTGGTACATAACTTTAACCCCTCCCTTCCTTAATCTTTCCTACATGCATGTATAGCCGTTGAAGGCGACGCCCGCGCCATGCAACAGCAATTAGTTCCAATCGAATTAATAACCGCGACCGCACACTGCACGAAGGACATTGCGTCTTTCGATCTCCTCTTTAATATAAATGATCACCAGATACTGAGTCCTAGTAATTTCGCGAATGTGATGCGCTTCCAGCGATTATAATAAGTCAAGAGTTAAGGAGTGTGACGTCTTAGAACTGATCTAAGAGTGCGTGCGCCGATCCACGTGGCGGATCTGCTGTGTTAGCTGATACTCCGGGAGGAAGGCGAGGCAATCCCTCACAAGGTTAGTGCGTGCATTACACTCTCATCCACTTTCCTTGCTCTGCTTGTTGTATGTACCAATACAGTCAACAAATCTTTATCGAAGAACGCACGTTACTGGCGCGTCCACATAGACTTAGCTGTGGAGCACACGCTTTTAAATATTTCTGATTATTTTTTACATATTCCTTAAATTCAACGCTAGGATTATATGACCTTTCATGGTAAAGTTAATATAGCCTTTGTGTGCTCTAATGGACTCCTATTGTCGCCCATTCATTGAATGCCTTCCGACTATTCAAGGAGAATGCGTTAGAAGTAAAAGTATTATTAAATTCATTACAAATAAGCTTAGGCGGCACTGAAAATTTCGGGAATCAAGGAAGTGACACAACATTACTATTTAAAAATGTATTTATTGCTTTTCGAAGCATTCTCCGTGAAATTTGACACATTTTTCCATACGATGGAACCAATCATTGAAGCAACCATTCCATTCGGAAGTTGGGGTCTCCAAAATGGCCGTTTTGTAGGCGTCCACAGCTTCTTCAGGTGATGAAAATTTATGTCCACGCAATTTATTCTTTATTTTAGGGAAAGTATAGAAATCATTAGGGCTTAGGTCGGGGCTGTACGGCGGATGGTCTAATAATTCTATGTTTTCTTGCTTTAAAAACTCTTTGGTCTGTGTGCGGTGTGAGAACTCGCGGTTGCAGTTCTCTTTACGGAGTTTAGAAACGACCTGTGGCAAACAAATGCTAGCATACCATTCTACATTAACCGTTCTTTGTCCCTCAAGAGGAATAATCGTAACATGGCCGGTTTTGGAGACAAACGTGGCCACCATTTTTTTTGGAACACTCCGTAAACGAACAATTTTTGTTGGCTTTAACTCATTTTCAAACACCCAAACTCGTGACTGGTTTTTTGTTTCGGGTTCGTACGCGTATATCCAGGATTCGTCACCTGATATGATGTTGTATACAGCATTTGAGGATCCTGCGTGGAATCTTTCGAGAGTTCTGACGCACCAAGTAACGCGAGCCGCTTTTTGCTCTTCACAGAGCGAATGCGGTATCCATTGGGAAAACAACTTTTTTACACCTAATTGTTCATGCAAGATTATTTGTATTTGACTCATGCCAATGTCTAAAGTTGCCTGAATTTCGCGGTATGTCACATGTCGATCTTCCTCAATCAGCTTACGCACAGCATCAACGTTTTCTTGGGTGACTGCAGTTTTTGGACGACCTTGACGGGGATCATCACTGAGCTTGACACGTCCACGTTGAAATTCAGCAAACCAGCGATAAATTGTGGTTTTGGATGGGGCTTTATCACCAAATGCAGAAATCATCCGGTCAACACACTGTTTTTGTGTTAAACCACCTCGAAAGTCATAATAAATCATAGCTCTTGAATTTTCTCGAGTCAATTCCATTTTCTCAACGACTAAACAAGTTTGAAAAAACCTTGTGACAAGATCGAGAATGTTTTTTTAAATAAATAAATGGTTTTCGATTTTTAAAACCAGGGACTTTTCAATTAAAAAGATTTAAATATTACAGGAACAGTGGAGATATTCCATTCCCGATACTTTTAGTGCAGCCTATGTAAACAATGTTCCATACAAAAAAATTAGGATCATTTTGGTATGAAAGTGATGAAAGTTTTTTCACTGATTGTTGCACTAGATTGAGCAATACGCGTTGGCTCTAAAAATAAATTAAAAAGACCATATGATTTAAACAATGATCTATATTTAATATTAGTGGAGGAAGCTTCTAGGAGATTGATATTAAAGTCTCCACATATTACAACAGCTTTATTCTGTTTATTAAGCTTAGCAAAAACTTCCTCCATATTTTTTTCGATATAGAACATGGGTAGACGCTCACAACAATGAGGTGCTTAAACTCAACACATGCTATTTCTACAGTTCGCTCAACAGAGAGGCTCACAATATCTTAACGTTCTTTACATGATAATAATTTACTAGCTAATAATTAAGGAGCCACCGCTTAAAACCGTTTCTCTATTGAAAGAACTGACCACCTGGTGATTACTGAAGTTAAACATTAAGTTATAAGTTTTTAACTAATGTTCAGTAATACATAAGATATGAATATTGTTGCTATTTAAGAACAACTCAATTTCTAGCTCTTTGCCTATCATGCCTTGTATATTTTGATGCACCAGGTGTAAACAATTGTCATTATCACTCTGTGGAGTCATACAATTAAAGATTTGTAAGCTACATTCTAAATTATTTAACTTATTATAACTGCTAGAGATTACCTCTATTGTCTCGTTTTCTAATTTAAATTACTTGGAACTAATTCCAAATTACATACTAAGTCATTAGCCTGCTCAAAAAAAGCAGATGTCTGTGAAGTCAAGTCCTTGGCTGAGTTAATATATAAACAAAAAGATAGCACATTTGCTATCTCTCTTAAATTAACAGTGGTAGAGCCACGCGGCAGCTTTTGCTGTCGCACGGATGGGCCGGCTCGAACCGGGGTGGTACCACGACCTCACAGAAAACCAGCGTGAAGTAGAGGTTTACCTCTGCGTTTCGCTTGGTGAGTGCAGGTGGCCGGAGGCCCTTTTTACTGGAAATGAGGCACTCCATCTTAGTCCTCACGGGTGACAACGCATCTACATTTTGATTTTGTAATAGAGGATAGATGTAGATGTCTATGGGCCGCAGCAACCACTTACCATCAGGTGGACTGTGTGCTCGTTTGTCACCCTTATCCTATAAAAAAAAAAAAAAAAAATTATGTAAGTAATACCTATCTCTCTTCAAAAACCAAAGCGATATCAACTATGCGTCTAAATAAGCGAAGTTTATCTTCATAAAATTATCTTGTTGATAAATTAAAGAATTAATATGCCTAATAACAACGCTGATAAACCACTTTTTAATTTTCAATAATTTTTGTCACAAAATGCCTAATTGTGGCTTATGTTTAAGAAATAGGCATATGGAGTACTTTTGTAGAACATTGTATTTACGGATACCATTACGATAGTGTACGCGGATAAATCAGTTCGGGGGCACTTTTCTTCTGACTTGCTACAATATTTAAGGCCAGCTGTGAGGTTCAGCCTTATGAGAGATAATCTATACTATTCCTCATGAATATGGCTATAATATACAAACAGAATTTTTCAAATCTGACTACTAGTTCCAGAGATTAGTGTGTTTAAATAAACAAAAAATAAAAATTAGTCCAGCCTTATAATATTATAATATAATATGTAATATGATTTATCATAATACAGTATAGTGTAGATAACTTACGGAACCCACGGTGTTAGAGTTATCTACGTACTTAATCTGTTTTTTTTATGACGGAATTACAATTTATAAGTACAAACATATTTATATTGTTACTATTCGAGTAGGAGCAGCGTAGTTTAGTTTATAAAACTCAAAAGAGTAAAATTTTGAAATCACGTTAATTACCGATTTATTTGGCTTTAAAAGAATCGAAAACAGGTTATTTGCGAATGGAGTCACGGGCACAGCTAGTATATATACAAATATACTATTTTTGTATTAGAAATGTAATAAGGTTAAATTAAAAACCACAAACAAAATAAAAATATTTTGATACGTGGAATAAAAAGTGGCAACTTTTTGTGTACACGATGGAATAAAAAAAACTTACCTCGTGTCCGTCATTTAGGAGGTGTCTCACATATCCTTCTCCAAGTATGGCATGACTTCTTCCAGGAACAGGAAACACTAGCAAAATTTTATACGCCCCACATAAATTATTTAAAATCAGAATTATGACGATACTTCTGAGTAGCATGATTCAAATTTATTTTCTAATCGTATAATTTAATAATTTCATTTAAATTTAATAATTGCTTTGTATTCTACGTATTCGCCGTTCAGTTAGACTTGCAAGTAAGAACTGATTATTAATCAGTTTGGTCGCATTATAAATATGCAAGGAATGCATGTCGTTCAATTCATTAAAAAATTGACGTTAGGTTGAAAATTGATTGACTAGTAGATAACACTGGCAAGAAGTTCAAATTACCCTATATATACGAGTACATTAATGCAAACGATAAAAGTACCTTAAAAGTATTTCTTATTAGTTTGTAGATAAAAGTAACCAATGGCTTGCGTGTTTAGCATTAGTTCAATTAAATTACATTTTCAGTTGTTTAATCCGTGTTTCATACTATACGCTATTATTTCAAAAAATCTTGCTAAAAATTTCTCTAAGAACAATCTTAATAATATTTTAATAACTGATTTTTTTAATAATTATTATAAATTAATACAGCTGTGCATGGACATTAATTAAAGAATAGAATACAAAAGTTTTATTCAATATAGATTCTTACGTAATGCTAATTGAAAGTATTTTTTTTTAATTTACTACTGTTTCGGAAAATACCTCATAAATAAAATACCCAGCAAGAAGAGTGGGATTATATTTTTTAAACATATATAATTTTACGACAATTAAAAATGTTTCACAGAAAAACCCAATAACTGATACTTGGTCTGACCCGGGATTCAACACAGACTTATTACAATCGTTAGATTGTAATAAGTCAACTTGGCTAACCCTAATGAATAGTGCGGGACTATGTTGGCGAAGTGGAAAGGGTTATCATCGCAAGCCTTGGCGCAGTTTATAAGGGCTAAATAATCGTACATCCCATAGCTGCGCACAGGCCCGTCATACATGTGTGATGAGAAATTCAACTTGTAGTTATTATTATCAACATAAATTACTTTTGACTAGGATTTTCTCTTGTGTCGTGGAGGCAGTTTACAAACATAAATTGCACAAGGACAAACATCCAGACCCGGAACAATTATTTGTAGGCCATACAAATACTTGTTCCGGGATTCGAACCCGCGGCCCCCAGCGCAACAACTAATTGCTAAGCCACTGCGCCACGGAGCCGTCAATTACTGTTTGGTATATAATATATAATACGAGCAAAGTAGTAGCGTTCATGTCTAACTAATTCATATAAACCTACTCTCGTATCTGTTATTTTCTACCGACTTCAAAAATGAGTAGTTCCTCAAACTGTATGCTTTTTTTTCTTTATGTACATAATAAAAACATAAACACTCACGCCTGTCACCCAGAGGGGTAGGCAGAGACTACGGACTTCCATTTGGCGCGATCCTGACACACCTCTCTCGCCTCTTTTACATCCATATATCTACGCATACACGCCCGTCGGTTATGGGTACTCCTAATCTGGCCCATTTTTAATGTATCGCCGATTTGGTCGATAAACCTTCGTCTAGGGCGTCCCTTCCCGACCCTGCCGTTCACTTCCGCAACATAAATTTGCTTTGTCACTCTTTCCTCGTTCATTATATAAAGAGATCTTAATGCCTGTATCAAGCCAGCGCTCAACCCAAATGAGTTCAGTGTTTGCCATAACACATTCCTGTCCACTCTGTCATAAGCCTTTTCCAAGTCCATGAACGCACAAAAAACTTTCTGGTTTTTAGCCAAAAACTTCTCCGCTATCATGCGCATGGAAAAGACTTGATCCGTACACCCCATCCCCTTTCTAAATTCAGCTTGCACATCCCAAATTTTTCCATCAGTTTCTTCCATAACTCTTTCAATTAACACCTTAGTATACAGTTTACCCACAATGCTAAGCAAGCTGATACCACGGTAGTTTTTACAGTCCTGCTGCGACCCCCTTCCCTTATATATTGGGACTATAACGGCTTTGCACCAGTCTTCCGGTACCCGTTTCAGTTCCCAACATAAATTAAACAAGGTGTGCAGCAGGCCTGCAACCACACCCTCACCAGCCTTTAGCATTTCGAGTGATATTCTATCATATCCGGCTGCCTTACCTGCTTTCATGCTTTTCATTGCTTTCATTATTTCATCTACACTTATCTCCCTACCTCTCTCTACTTCTTCCGGAATTTCTATTTCACTTATTCCAGACGACTCTTCACTCTTAAACACGCTTTCAAAGTATTCCTTCCATCTCTTTAAATTCGAAACTTCATCATTCAGCATGCAGCCATTCTCGTCTCGTATAGCATTTATTCTAGGCTGTTTTGAATTTCCCCTGGCAGTTCTTACGAGCTTCCAGAACATTTTAATATTTGCCTGGAAGTTATCAGATATCCTTCTATCATTCTTATCTATCCTTTCTTGCTTTTTCCTTTCAACAACTTCTTTTACTCTCTTATTTATACGTCTAAAGTCTGCCTTTTTTCTTTCAATCTCATCATTCATACCGCCAGAATTACCAGCTTTAGTTGCTAGTAAATCTAGCCATGCTCTCTTCTTTGCTTCAACTTCCATCCGTACCTCATCATCCCACCACAACATATTACTTTTCCTTTCATTCGTTCTCTTACTTACACCGCATACTTCGGTGGCTGCATCCACCAAAACTTTCTTAATATTATTCCATACATTCTTCAATTCTAAATCATTCATACATAATTCATTCAACCCACTTATATTTTCCCTCAATCTGCATTTATACTTCTCTTTCACACCTTCATCTTGTAACCTCTCTATTCTTATACGCTGTAACGCAGTGGTAGACACCGATGTCCGATGCCGCCAACGTCTGAATAGACCATTAATTCGGCATAAGACCAAGTAATGATCCGTCCCTACGTTGGACCCCCGGTAAACCCTTGTATCTACCACTGCGCTCCTCATTCTTTCATCCACAATTATAAAATCTATCATGCTTCTATCATCCCCTCTTTCCCATGTATACATGTGAATCCTCTTATGGCGAAAGAAAGTGTTCGCCACAAAAAGATTATTTTCCACACATACGGTGAGGAGGTCTTCACCATTCTCATTTATTCTTTCATCGCCAAACGTTCCTAATATCCTTTCATAACCAGACCTCTTCACCCCAACCCTTCCATTAAAATCTCCTAACATAATAATATTTTCATTTTCCTTACATTTCATCAACACCAGCCTTACCATGTCCCAAAACTGCTCTCGGATATAAGTGGGCTTAGACATATCTGGGGCGTACACCCCTAGCATAAACAACTTCTTTAAGCCCACTTTCATTCGTATCCACAGCAGCCTTGGGCTAACACATTCATACTCTTTCACACATTGACCCATTCTTTCTGAAAGGATGACACCGACTCCCTGACATGCCCGCTCGGTCTCGTCTACTCCAGACCAGTAAGCGGTATACATGCCATGTGCAGTGACATCTCTTCCCTTTCGTTTCGTCTCGTTTACACATAACACATCTATTCCTCTATCATTCATCATTTCGCATATTTCATCCATCTTATCATTCATTGCTCCACATACATTCAGCGTGGCCAGACGGGCCTCCGCAATCCACTTTTCGCCCCTCCGGGAGACAGGACGTGACGGGTGGCGAACCTCGTCGCCGGTTTTTCTCCCGGAGATTCGCACCCCTGCCCCATTAAAGGGGCGCCGGGAACTCGGGGCCATTTCTTTTCCTTCTTGGCTCATGGTGCGAACTAAGGGGTGGTAGATTTTATGCCGCTACCATACGGCGAGGAGCCGAGGCTGTCGTTTCGGCTTTGTCGCTCGTTTAGCACCACCCGGGGGACACGTGTAGGGTGGGCCTAGGATTAGGTGGTCGAAGCCTACGGACGCGAGCGACTCATCCCCTTTCTTTATGTGTGTTACCTCATAACTTTTTTTTGGATGAACTGATTTCGGTGATTCTTTTTTTATTTGAAAGCTGGTGCTTCTCACGTCGTTCCACATAAGTTTGATCAAGATATGACCAATAGTTTTTGAGTTATTTTTAATAAATTATATTGTAGTCGGTTGTACAATATTTTTAATTTTAAATTATTGTTTAAACATTTGAGATTTAGGGGAAGAATACATCCACCACCCTACCAAAATTAGCCGTTAATTATTATTATTATTAAATTTATTTGTGGACTACAGATCCTGAAAAAAATAAAGCAGTTCATTATGGCGAGTAAGAGTGAGTTTTCCTGGATATGCATGCTACCTATCGTAATCTTGGAAATATACATATTTGCGGGATAACTTGTTTATCTTAAAATTATTATCACAATTCATATTATATATAAATTAAATATATAATTATAAAAAATACAATGAGAAATGAGAGAAGGCATGCTCGAGTGTCGGACGCATGCAGGCTCTTAACTTACATTGTTTTTTCTATTCTTCAAGGCCAACCTCTTTTAACTCTTCCGTCTACTTTGTATTTACAATTGCGTCGTACATAATTACTGGCACTGTTTTACCAGTGTTCTTTTGCATGACTTTCATTTCCTGACTCTGTTTCTTAATACTGTACTATAGATATTTTTTATTTAAAAATTATTAGTTAATAATAATCATATTTATTCTACTTAGTCTAAATATATAGGTTAATGATTTAGCCATGCGGACTATACGATCCTGTATAGTCCCTTTGCCAGCGGTATTCGAGGATTGCTGAAAATTTGTGAGGAATATGCGGAGGTGAATGAATTTGTATACGACTCTAAAAATACTCAATTTATTATTTTCAGGGGAAGTAATAAAGCATTAAGTTTTAAACCATGTATACAGCTATGTGGAACTTCCTCGAAACAGGTAGCTGAGTTAAAGTACCTCGGCCACTTAGTAACTGAACTCTTGCATGACGAAAGCGACATTTAACGTGAGCGCCGGGCTCTTTAGGTCCGAGGTAACATGTTGGCAAGTAGATTCGCACGTTGTACGACGCATGTAAAGTTAACTTTGTTTCTAGTTTATTGTCAATCGCGAGTAAAACCATAGAATATATAATATTACAAGAACATAAGGAT